AAAAGGGAACCAATCGAGACTGAAGCAACGTCTATCTGCAGATTACGAGTTGAATAACAAAAAACGCAAGAGATCTGAAACGCTATCTCTCTACGTATAAGAATGAGCACACCGCCACCCCTACCAGCGGGTCTGTCCTGTCATACACTAATATAATTGGGGACCTCAAAGACGTTGGAACTTGAGAGCCAAGACTCCGTGACACAAAGAATGTCCGGGTTATGTTTCCACAAAATCAAGTTCACCTCGGTTCTTTTGGGAATGATGCTGCGAGCATTCCACAAAATCAAAACTAGCGATTTATGAACTGTACTAGATCTCTGCATAATTGGAATCAACGGGAAACCCCGGAAGAAAGAAAAACTCCAAACAAATAGAGACAACGAGGCCTCAATACAGATCCAAATACGTGGACAGCACTCAGAAATTATGTGAGCTAGACGTAAAACCAACCGAATAAACCACACGTACAGGTAAAACGTAAAATAAATAGTTGACAGCTGTTCTCTGTAGTACAAATAGGTTAAAACAACAGATTAAAATTCACTAGATAAAATATTTAAAACAAAAAGACTAAAAAGAGATTAAAATATATGTTACCAAGTAACTAGTTTGTTTATAAATGTAAAACACAATATAAGTTAATAAATAAATAATAGGAGATAAATGGGAGACGTATAACAGAAAATAAAACTAAGTAGAAAATTAGCCCTCATTTAGAGTCTCCACAGGGTGGCCAGAACCACCAAGCGGTTGAATCGTATCAATATCGGTACGAGTATCCATTGGACCAGAAGAGGATTGCGAAGTCTGAGAAGTATTGCTTTGGTCCTCCACAGGCCCCACCGTGGGCTGCCAGACCACCTCATAACCCGGCTTAGCAATTCCCTCAATCAACAAGAGCGCCTCCGCCTTGTCATAACCTACATTGAGCTCAAGCCTGCGCTTCATTATTAAATATTCATATTTATAATAAGGACACTCCCTTGATGAGGACATGTGATTATCACCACAGTTGGCACAGTGTGCCGTGCGGTTCGGGTTAGGACAATCATCCCTAGCGTGGTTCTCTGCACAGTATTCGCATCTAGAGAAAGTCGAGCGACACTGAGTACGAAAATGCCTAAATCTCTGACACTTATAGCATCGCTTTGGAGGAGTGACTATCAGAGTTAAATTGAAGAGGGCTCGAGAGATAAAAATTGAATCCGGGATCGATACTCCTGAAAAGATCAATTCGATCTGCCCCGACAGATCTCCATCCTGGGTTGTGCGTCTACGAATGGAAATTACCTCCCGAATTACTTCACTCTCCATTTTATTACAAATCTCCAGAGGGGACAATTCTAGATCAACATCATGTGCCAGCGCTTTTCTACTAACCAAGGACCTGGGGATATACAATTTGTATCCGCGATCGTTGTCCTTCATGGACTCGAGCAGTTGGTTGGCAAGCATCCAGGTGGAGGAGGTCACACGCAGTTGATTAACTCCGTTAGCCACGACCACACGATCTGGGTCGCTGACTCGTGCTTCGAAATAGTCAGCGATAGCGATCCTATTATATTTACCGATCTTCTGGTTTGGTGTGGTCGATTCTACTAGGACTGTAAAAGGAGGAGGGGCATCGGGCTGAAATCTAGCATCCTCCGTGTATGCTGGGTTAATCCACTCAAGATCATAGGGGTACAGTTTTTCCTGTTCAGGAGAAACCTGTAAGTCAGCCTCCAGTGTAGCCCGGGTTTCATCCCTCTGTTCCAGAGACAGGTTCACAAGGGGGGTAAATCTGTAGAGGTGGATCAGTGACAGATGTTAACATGGTCTGAGGGACATCAAGTGGGGAGGAAGGTTCAGATTCCATGGGGACATGATGTGGTTGTTTAAGCGATGTTAAGTTTGACCCGTTTTCAGGAGGCGAAGGATTCACCCAGTCTCGACGATAACCAGCGGGCAAAGAAGACACAGGAACAAAGGGCACCGTAGACCCCGAAGCCAGACCATACCCAGGACCAGATGTCAACCCTGGCCTGACGATAGAGGGATCCATACAAACAGGAAGTTTACCACGACCAGGAAATCGACTTCTAGTATTCATTGCAGCGCGCTGGAGACCGGGGGCCGCCGGAGCGGTTAGCTTCCTAGGTGTTGTTGGAGCCATATCTTGACTTAAAAAGGATTTATTAAGCCCGAACCCAGAAGAACAAGGCGACACCAAATGAGGGCCCAAATTCTCACTCAATATTAAAAAGTAACACAGAAATAAAAATCATCTACTGAGTGAGAACTTATAAGGTAAAAACAGAATAAACAAAAATCAAGCCAATAATTGACACAAAAATAAATTAAATTAGAGTATAAATAAATATGTCAAAAGACCGAAAATAAATAAAATAAACAGATATAAACAAAATAAAACAAATAGCAATAAAGCAAATAAATAAAATAAACAGAAATAAACAAAATAAAACAAGTAGCAATAAAGCAAATAAATATATACAAATAAGCAGGTTATGTAATTAAAATTAAAACGACTGAATACACATTGAAATATAAGGTCTTGTATGTGTAGTTGTAAACAAATTATATAAAAAAAAGGCTTTAATCCCTTTGGGCGGAATGTGAAAGTGGTAATGTAAAATATAAAAAATTAAAAAAATAATGGGCTGCAATTTGAAATGTATGTGTGGTGTGACATAAACAAGGTATCAAGAATTTAAATAATAACAAAAAAGAAAAAGAAAAAAAAAGAAAGTAATAAAAGTTAAAGCTATGAGTGAGCCTGGAGTAATAATAATTAAAATTAATCAAAAGTTAGCGAAGAAGTCAAGTAAATTCGAAATATATAAAATAAAATGAAAATCACTATAACTAAAAACTTGAAAACTTCACCAACTACAAATTTAAAAATATATCGAAATTTTATAATACGTAAAATTAAAATCACTTAATCGGGAAAATAAGTCTGACACAGGCTGACACTCATAATATTGACAGACTGTTTTCTCAAAGGGACGTGTAGGATTTGTAAAGGATGACTTACCTTGAGTAACGAAGGACGACAATACCCAATTATAAAACCTCATTAGCCTTATATACTTCAAATATTAATTAAAATCGGTGCACAAAATGAAAAACTCCAGCCACTTGCAGTTTCCAATTTAAATTCTGGCGCCTCCAGCAGAATGCAGCAACACGTGCAAAACACCGGCCGGATAAAACAAACAGCTGATTGTCGAAAATGCCGCCAACAGCTCGCTCCGAAATTATAAATATTTATGGTTCGTTTATTTAGAGTACTCAATAAAATAAATGGACGAACATCTGAACATATTCAGCACATTTAACAATAAATAAATAACCAGACACAGAGTTTAAGAGCAAATTTAATTTGTAACACAAAAATTTTGGACCAAACAAAAAGTGAGGAAACCTCACATTTAAAAACAAACAGGACTATACTAGAAGACGGTCATAACCAGACTCTATTTAAAATTTTATTACCCAAGTAGCACGGACCCAAGCAAAGACACGGACGGTGGAGAAAGGCCCCAGTGCACGGAGCGAACAGTTGCGCGCCAGCAACCCAGAAGGGGCCGTCCATAAATTACGTAAGACTTTTAGGGGGGAGAGGGGGTTAAGTATTTCTTACGACCAATAGGAAAAATGGCGCTAATGCATGTAAAAAATCTTACATAGGGGGGGGGGGTTCAAATGACCAGAAAAAAGTCTTACGTAATTTATGGACGACCCCGAATCGACCTGGCGCCGCGCAGACGGAGAGATTCCCCCCACCAGATGCCCGATCCGATCGTTGGTCCCCACCACTTCTCGGCCGGTTGAGCGGGTACAAAAGAAGGCGGATTTGTGAATTGAGATGAGAACCAGGCCGGGTCAACTCCGTTGAATGAAAATGGCAACATTCAGCGCCTCTACAACCAGCGTAGCAACTAATTTTTACTCAGCTTGTATATCTATACATACAATAGATATAGATATACAAGCTGAGTAAAAATTAGTTGCTACGCTGGTTGTAGAGGCGCTGAATGTTGCCATTTTCATTCAACGGAGTTGACCCGGCCTGATGAGAACTGAGTGTTACTTAGAGCAGTAAGGTTTTACCTTTCTTCAATAGTATAGAGTTTTACTCTAATAACCGATGTATGTCGAGTTTTACTCGAACGCATTTAGATTCTTACATGGATAAATTTTGGTTCTTTAAACATATTAAATTATGCTAGAGTTTTACTCTAGTATAAGTAATCGCGAGTTTTACTCGCTATTACAAGTTTCTAGCAGCATCTCATGATATCGTCCAGAGGAGGAACATCGCCCAAGAAGAAAATTTTCCAACTGTTCCAATATCCCGGTTGACGCCGATTAAGCAGATTTCGCGGCTCGATTCCTATCGAAGCCGATTACACCTCGCGGCTCAACGCAGCCGATGGATACCGGTTAAATCAAATATCATTTTGACGTCGTGATTAACACAATTAATAAATCCTCCCGTGAATTTGAGCAAACCACGAATTATTATATTTTACTCGTTGTTATCCGTTTGATAGCAGTCGTATTCCGTTCCAGTAGTTTAATCGTTACGTACAATACGTCACTAATATTTCGCGAATCTTGCGAACTGATCGCAATTGTCATTGTTAACGCAGTCTTTATCACTACATTCATGTTATCTTATTTTTTATCGTAATGGAACCAATTGCGTGGTCCACGATATATTAAACTAACGTACGAAACTTGATGTCAGTCCGTAAACGTCCAGTCAATTTTTGCATTGCTTGTAAATAATATTGTAAATAAATAATTTGTTTTCGATTTGTAATTAACCCGTTGTTTTATTTTTATTTGAATCAAAAAACCCTGGCTCGGCGAGCTAATCAGATTCAATAATTGCAAACGTTACAACCGTGCTACTTGGGTATGTAAAACAGAATGAGGGTTTATAGAAAGTGATTTATGAAACATAATATATATATATGAATTGTGGCTGTTGCAAAAAATTTTTATTCATAAATATGAAAATGTGTAAACAATTTCTGTTTTTATTTATAAAATTTTTGAAATTATAACAAAAACTTAACTATATAGCCAAGGTAGTGTCAAAGATCCTATAAATCAGAAACCTTTGTCTGCGACATTCGTCTAAAATTTCCTACAGTGATTCTTTTTTATTTTAAAAAAAAATCTGTCATAGTTGAAATTTTATTTTGAACACTTTTATTTTTCCAGTAAATACTAAACAAATTTTAATTTAAACTATATTAATCATCAGTCCGCAATAGCAGATAAATCGTGGAAAAATGCTTCAATTGGTAAAGTAGGTGTGCCATATGTTGATTTAAAATGTGATAAAAATGCCGTTTTATCTGACGTTGGTGAAACTTTTTTAGACATACTTGCTTTATTGTGTAATGATGATGCAGAACTTGTTAAATCTGATACACTTTGTGAAGCTTTCTCTAAAATTAATTCATCTTCTTGTTCACTTGTTAATGTTGGTAAATTATTATTTTTTAAAGTTTCATTTCTTTTGAGTCCTGCTTTTGAATTATAACGATAGAGATTAAAATTTGGTTTTATTGTTCTATTATTGTGAATTGGTGTAATTTTCAAATCGACATTTGACGGTGTGACTATATCTATTTCACTTTTGATTAAGGATGGTGCTTTTAATTTACTTCGATGTTCACCAGAATAATTCTTTTCTCTCAGATTTTCGGCACTATTTAATTTTGATGTAATAAAAGTAGGTGGAGTGACTCGAGATATATTTAGAAGATTTAGCCTTTCTTTTGGTGAATATTTATTAATTTTTTTTCTAATCTGAGTCGAATTTTCTTGGCTCTCTGTTAATGGTGTTGTTGAACTTGGTCGATATGATATTCTTGACATATATTTATATCTACCACCGATTGTATTCTCAAATTTGTTTCTGTCTAATGGAGATTTTTTTTTAATTTGAATATTTTCTGTACTTGATTCAGTTGTTGATTTTCTATTTTTATCATCGAGTTTACTTTTATAATCTTTAACGCTAAATCGTGGCCTTAAAGTGTTTGCAGGTCTAGAAAATCGAATTTTAGATGTTGTCCTCATAATCGTTGGGGAAGTTGATAAAATTTTTGATTCATGCTTTGTGGTGAATAAATCTGTTGGTGTTGTTGTTAAAATATTATCTGTTTCGTGTATTTTTTCGTAATTGTTAATTGTTGATAATTTCAATGAAGGTTCTGTTATAAAATCCTGATTATTTACTATTGAAGTTTGTGTTGAAGCAATTATATATTCATAATTATTTCTATCGTCAACGATCAATTCTTCTGTTACTGGATAATTATTTTCAATTTCTTCTGTGGGATTTTCAGTTGTATGAGTGAATTCTTTTTTTGTTTCAATTTTACTATCATTTTTATAATTTATTAATTTTGTATTAATTTCAGTAATAATTTCTTCGTCTTCTTTATTTTTCGCTTCAAATTTAGTCGTGGTTTCTTGATTTAAAGCAATTATGTTAATTGTTGGTGTTGTAATAGATTTTTGAGCTACTGATATTGGTCTTCTTCGATGTTTTCCAACTAAACGATGACTTTTTACTCTCTCTGGTTTCCTTCCACTGTCCTGCAATTCCGTTGTTGATTTTAAAGTAGATGTATAAGCAAATGTTTCTGTCCGAATGTCTGAAATTTTAAAATGAAGAAAAGTAAAAATTTAATTTAATTTAATTTAAAAGTAAAAATTCTTTGTAATTACCCTTAATAGGAGAATGAGTAGCTTCATAATAGGTAACAGGTAACTCAGTCGTTACAATATAACCATTTGTCACAGGTATTTTTGATAAAACATTTTCATAGAACTCAAGACTTTTATTTATTTTTTGCGGATTATGCTGATTAAGAAAGACATTCTCTAACTCGACCTCTTGTCCAAATTTGTATTTTTCAGGAGTTGTTTGATCTGAAATTTCTAAAAGAGAAAAGAAGAAAGAAATCTAAGAAACAAAATATTATAGGTTATGTTTATGACAGTTTTACTTTCATTAAAATTATTAAATTAAAGGTTGTGTTTATGATAGTTTTACCTTCACTGTAAAAAAAAGTACTAAAATAGTGCCGATTTTAGGTATCAAAATAGAATCAAATGAGAATTAGAATTTGCATTTTAAAGGATTTTTATTAAAAATAATTATTTTTTTTACGAATTTTCATTTTTCAAATTAACATTTATCAGAATTTCTTTTTTAAACGAATTCAAATTAACATTTGACAGAATTTCTTTTTTAAACGAATTTTTAACAAAATTTTTTGCTACAGAATTTTTAATTAATAGAATTTTTAAGAAACCGAATTTTCATTTGTCCGGAATTACAAATAATCGACAGAAATATTTTAGCGCAACTTGTAAAATTGACCAATTAGAAATTATAAAGAAAAACGTGATTGGTCAATTTTAAAAATTGCACTGAAATCTTTCTGTCGATTGTTTGTTCGGCCATTTGTAATTTCGGACAAATGAAAATTCAATATCTCAAAAATTCTATCAATTAAAAATTCAGATAAATTAAAATTTGGTGAATTAGAATTATTCTGTCATTTAAAAATTCGAATTTAGAAATTCATGAGCCAAAAAAAATTTCAATTCAACTGAATTAGTTTTCATTTAGGTACTAGTGGGATATAGTTTTTCCTTATTAAAAAGTATTAAATTATAGGTTATGTTTATCATAGTTTTATCTTGAATAAATTAAATTATATACGTGAGGCATTCATCGTCATTTGGACCCCCCGGCTCTCCAAAAATGGTTTACGTTTAAATTACCGGGCATAGGTTTAAAATTTAGATAAAAAGAAATACTTTTAAATGCCGAATAGCACTTTTTGAAAATTCAAAATAGCGGTTCCAATATGGCGGCAGAATTTCTAAAATGTGATTGGATTTGCTTGAAACTTGTTACTCGGAGGTATTTGGGGTCACTGATAACGAATCTAAAGTCAACATTAAAAAATTCAATATGGCGGCTCCAAAATGGCGGCAGAATTTCTAAAAAGTTATTGGATTTGCTTGAAATTTGTTACTCGTGAGATTTTAGGGATCGCTGATTACGAATCTGAAATCAGAATTTAAAATCCAATATGACGGATCAAATAAATAAGGGACGAATTTTCAAAAAGTGATTGTATTCGTTAAAAATAATTGTTATATTTAATACAATATTTTGTATATTTTTTAAAAATTAACTTATATTCTAAATCAACTACCCCAAAATCTCCTTAGAAACAATTTGCATTAAATAATCAAATTTAAAAAAAATCGTCCGCCATACTGGATACACCATATTGAATTTTTAAAATCTGACTACAGATTCGTAATCAGCGACACTAATAACCCCTGAGTTACAAGTTTTAAGCAAATTCAATTACTTTTTAAAAATTTGTCTGTCATATTAAATCCACTATATTGAATTTTTAAAATCTGACTTTATATTCGTAATCAGCGACTCCAAAAACCCCCGAGTAACAAGTTTCAAGCAAATCCAATCACTTTTTAGAAATTCTGCCGCCATATTGGAGCCGCCATATTGAATGTTTTAATTTTGACTTTAGATTCGTTATCAGCGACGACCCCAAAAACCCCCGAGTAACAAGTTTCAAGCAAATCCAATCACTTTTTAGAAATTCTGCCGCCATATTGGAGCCGCCATTTTCAATTTTCAAAAAGTGCTATTCGGCATTTAAAAGTATTTCTTTTTATCTAAATTTTAAACCTATGCTCGGTAATTTAAACGTAAACCATTTTTGGAGAGCAGGGGGATCCAAATGACGAAGAATGCCTCACGTATATAATAATTTAAATTATAGGTTATGTTTATGATAATTTTTTACCTCCCTATACTAAAAATAATTATTTTTCAAACGATAAAATCCGAAAAAATTTCAAAGAATCTGATTAAAACTTTATCCCCCCCCCTCTGAAACCTAATTACAAATTCAATTGAATGAATTAGATCTAATGATGATTCTAAAAATGTCAGTATAGATTTTTCATTGGTTCTTATATTGATTTTTTTCTAGGAGAGAACTATCATAAACATAACCTATAATTTTTTACTTCTTAGCTCTCTTTCTTCAGTGCACGTCATGTACTATTTATAAGTTTAATTTTCATTAATTAATTAATTTTGATTCCAAACTTCAGAAAGAGTAAACAAAATTTAATAAATATAAATTACCTGAATATCTTAAACTTTCTTTTCTATCCTTAATCCTCTCTTGTTTTTCATAGACTTTTAATTCCTCTTCTTGCTCGTTATATTTATTCTGAATTGATAAAAATTCATTTTGTTTTGGCAATTCTTGATTCAGAAATATACTTGGTGATGTTGAGACCCGATTATTATTATAATTATTGTTATTATTATAATAATTATTATTGTTATTATTTTTGTTGTTGTTGTTATTATTATTATTATTTTTATTGTCGTTATATTGTATTGAATCAATATTTTCTTGTTCTCTGTATTTATTTTGTATTGTATGATGTTCTGGAATGATTTTTCTTTGAAAATATTGTTGCGTATCAGGTGTTGTATTTTGTAAATATGCTTCCTTCTGTGTAAAATTTTCATACTTTGGTGTAATATATGTTAAATCTTTATTGTTTTTAACTGAAGTTCCACGAAACATATTGTTATATATTTTTTCTATGCTATTAGCATTAGTGTAAATAATTGGATTATCTTCTGTATTTATTTCTGAATGATTTTTCTTTACATTAGTCGAATAATGATGAAGATAATTTACTTGCATTGGTAATAAATTTGATGGATAAAATTTTGTAGGTATCATGTAATTTTGATAAACGGGTTTTAATTTAATTTTTGATAATGCAGTAACATAATTTTTCTCCGGATATTCATCAATTAAATTGTTTGGTTCATTTTCTTTATTAATCTTTGGTGAATTAGTTTGATTAATAATATTATAATTATTATTCGAATTTCTAAAATATGAATTTTCAGGTTGTATATTGCGATTATAATATTGTTGAACGCTATTATTGTTTAAAAATTTATTACTAAATTCAACACTAGGAAGTGCTGAAAATGGTTTATTTAAATTTTGATTCATGTATGTTACAATTGGTCGATCAACTGATGGATATGATGGTTTGATATTAGCTGTAAAAAAATGTTGCCTAGTGGGTTGTTGTTGTACTTCTGACATTAGAAATGATTTTGGTATATTGGAATAAAATTGTGTTCCATCTCTATTATTATTTGGTTTTATTGTTCTACTTGTATATGAATTATCTTGAAGAATAAAAGGATCTCTATTTGTGGGCAAAAGAAATGAATATTTTCTAGTTTCAGAAGGAAGCAATTTCATATTTGTTTGAGTAAAATGATTATAGTTTCCTAATATTTTTGGCTGATGATTCTCTTTTGATTCATAATTATTTTGTGGTTTTAATATTTTTGGATCTACTAAATATTCTTGTAATTTTTTCAAATCAGGATAAACAGGCACTGTTGAGGTCCAAATATTTGTAGAAGTTGGAGGTTTATATTTTATTGTTTCTTGATGTGTTACTGGACGCCAATCATTTTCATATGTACTTTGGTATCTGTGTACCTGTAAAAAAATGTTAAATACTCTGCAAAAAAGAATGTTGGATGGAGGGGTTTTATATGTGTAACGTGCTCTGAAAAAGGGATCTAAGAAGCAAAAAAATTAATGGTTATGTTTATGATAGTTTTACCTTAAATAAAAATATTAATTTTTAGGTTATGTTTATGATAATTTTACTTGAATAAAAATTCATTTTTATAATTATATAAATCAAAAATTTTTTTTTTGTTTGTGACGAAGACTTAATAATAATCTGCATTGAAAATTGATCCTCTCTTTATTATTCGAAAATGTTTCATATTTTTAAGTTAAACATCATAAACATAACCTATAATTTTTTGCTTTTTAGGTTCTCTTTCTTCAATGATCATATATTGACGAAGTGGTATAACGAGACTTAACACCATTTATATCGTCTGCTATTGCGTAAACACTAACTGAAAGCAGAAATGTTTCAGTGAAATGAGTTTTAAATTTTAGTTAAAATTCAATTTTATTAAATTGCATATTGTTAGAGTTTCATTGTCAAAGTTTGAAAATATAGGATTAAAAACAATTAACTTGCAAAATATCTAATTTGTATTTATTCTAATTTGTAATAATTAAATTTTTTAATCTATAATTGAAGTATTAATAATTTAAAATATAGGTAAAAAGAATTTTGAAAAAATTGAAATTTTAATGAATCAAAATTTGAATCAATTGAAATTCGGATAATTTTAAACTTTAATCATTTAAAATTTGAATAAATTGAAACTCGGATAATTTGAAACTTTAATAAATCAAAATTTGAATAAATTGAAATTCGGATAAAAAGCATCAATCAATTAAAATTTGGAAGATTTTAATGCCAAATACATTAAATTTTGGATGAATTAAAACTTAAATCAATCAAAATTTGTATGAATTAAAATTTGGCTAATTTGAAAGTTAAATCAATTAAAATTTGAAGAAATTGAATTCGGATAATTTAAAACTAAAATCAATGAAAATTTGGATAAATTAAAATTAGAATAATTTGAAACTTAAATCGATTAATCTTTAGAAAGATTCAAATCTCGTTAATTTTAAGTTTCGATCGTTCGAATTTTCTGAAAATTTTAATTAATAAATTTTGACCAATAAAAATTAGAATTGATTGAAAGTTGGAAAATTTCAAATTTAAATTAAAATTACGGCGCGTTCATAAAAAATAATTATATTATTACTATTATATTTAATATAACTGTTGCAAAATAATAAAATAATAATAATTTACGGTATTAGTTTTAATTTCTCATAATTGTTAAAATATTCGATTTTTCTAAAGTTTACATTTTTTTTTAAATATATAAATAACATAAGCTTTTAGTTTAATAAGTCTTAAATTGACTTTATACAATAGAAATGTCGAATTTTATCTATTTCAAAGGTGTTTTGACTCGAATCGCGCCGTAATTAGTGCATTTACCCTATCTTTATAATATTAAAAGATAAAAAAATTGGAACAATTATTAAAAAAATAATTTTGTGTGAAAAATGGATGGAATAGAAAATTTTGTTTTCACAACTTGCAAAAAAAAATTACCATAGCCTTTTGAAAAGTGGTGCTACGTAAATAAAACTTTCTTCGCTTTTTTGAAAGTAGAAAATGACGCTGAGAATATAATTGTTCTGAAAAGAATTGTACCAATTAGTGATTTGAGTATTAAAGTTATTGTAAACAAAATTTATCCTTTTTCAAGGTTTTTAAGAATCGAATGTATGAAAAATCTAATTTTGTTAATGAAAAGAGTTGAAGAATTATACACTGAAAAAAAATTTATTTAATTCAAATACTTCAAATTATTTGAAAAATATTTAATTGGTTCAAATTCTTTTTATTTGGATCAAAAAAATATGTATTTGATTCAAATAACTTGAATTATTTGAATCGCATTTATTTATAAACGAAATATTTGAGTTAAATAAATGAATGAATAGTTTCAAGTAACTCATTATTTGTATTAAATAAATTCATTTATTTAATACAAATAATGAGTTACTTGAAACTATTCATTCATTTATTTAACTCAAATATTTCGTTTATTTGATACAAATAAAAAGTATTTGACACAATAAATTTATGTAATTGATTCAAATAAACTGAATTATTTAATACAAATAATTCATTATTTAATCCTAATACACTATTTCATCAAGACAAATAAAAAAATATTTCAATCAATTAAATATTTATTTGAAACGAAAATAATGAGTTACTTGCAACTATTAATTTATTTATTTCACTCAAATATTTCATTCTTTTGATACAAATAAAAAGTATTTGATACAATAAATTTATTAATTCTAATTAATTAAATTATTTAATATAAATAATGCGTTATTTAATGTTAATACACTATTTTATTAAAGGAAAATAAAATATTTTGACCAATTAAATATTTAAGTGTAATGAGAATAATGAGTTATTTGATACTATTCATTTATTTATATATATATTATTTAATATTCTAAGTCCAAAAGTCAAATATTTTTTCATCAATAAAAAATTAATGTTTCCAATGATTCAGAACAACGAAAAACGCGTTTTTAATAAAAATATATTTACACTTTTTTTGAAAATTCACCTGGGATGATTCATGATAATAATCATGAAGCTTATAATTAATTATACTTTATTAATTGCATTTAATTGGAAAATATAATTTAATATCTTAATTTTAACTAAATGATGTTAAGCACTTTTCTGAGTTAGATCTTTTGCAAATTTAAATGACATCAAGAAGTTAACATTCGTTTTCACGTAGCGTGCGTAGCGTATAGTTAAAAGCGTTAGACTCATAATCTGTAGGTCGTAGGTTCGATTCCCCCCATGCGTTAGATTTATTTATTTCTCAGGTTTGCGTTTAATCATTAATTCTATGTAAGAATTAGTTGAAAAATGAAAATATCCGATCATAGTATGTAGAAATTACATATTTTTTAATTTATTTATTTGAGTAAGAATTTAATTTAGAAATGGAAGAATTAGTAAATAAATATGTTATTTATTCAATTCAAATTTTGATTTATTTGAATCAAAAAATTCTTACATTTTATGCAAATAAATTATGTATTTCGATCAAATAAAATAATAATTGCCGCAATTAAAGAGGTTTTAGTTTCAATTAAAACAATTAATTATGACAAATAATCGAATATTTGATTCAAGAAAATTTTTAGTTGTTTGAAGAAAAATATTTTATTAATGCAAATAAATATTTATTTGAATCAAAAAACATGCAGTATTGAATGAAATAATTTTCATAATTGATTCAAATAATTATTTATTAGCTTTGAATATTCCATTTATTTGATTTGAATATTTTGTATTTGATTCAAATAACTATTTATTTGATACGACAAAATAAAATACTTAGGTTTAGTAAATGTGTATTTGATTCAAATACATATTTATTGAATAATAGACAAGTAAATGATGTATTTGGATCAAATACTTTTTATTTGATCCAAATAAATTTTTTTTTCAGTGTAATAATTAATTATATTTACAAAAATGCATTTGCAGTTTATAACAATGAAATGAATTTGGAATTTTTCAGAAAATTAAATTTTATTTACAATATTATTTCTCAAATTAAATTAAATATGAATGAAAATTCAAATATTAAATAAATTTCAATGGATTGGATAAGTGAATTACAAGTATTTTTTATATATAGTTTCTTTTCTATAAATTTTTATAAAATATACATATTCTTTCAATAAATTTTTTTAATTCCTTTTTATAATTGTTATGCGTTACACGTCTCCTTATACTACTTTGTGCGCATATTTTAAGTGTCTATAAGATCCCTTTACCAAAGTTTTTTAAAAACGTAGATGGAGATGAATATGTTAATTACTTACTAGATTATAATTATTTCTGTTCATAGACATTGCTTGTGCCAAAAGAAATGTTGTAAGAACTATAAAAAAGAAATTAAAAAATAAAAATTAACGGCTTTGATTAAAAATATTTTAATATTTATTTTTTTATTTAATATTTTTTTATAAACGAATATCTTTAACTGTTAATAGCCTCAAAATGTTTATTATTAAATTTAAAAAAACAGTTCGAAAAAATTAAAAATGTTTTCTGTATTTTTTACTTTTAAAATTTTTTTTAAAATTGAAATGTAGGTTTATTATTTTAATTGAATTATTATACTTACAAAGTAATATTATTTTGGACGCCATAGTGAATAATTAATTTTCGTATCATCTGCCTAAAAGAATTAAAAAAATTATTAAAATATTTATTGTTATTTAAGTGATTAAGAATCCCTTAAAGTTATTAAAGATATTATTCTATATTCAAGTTTCCCTATTTTAAAAATAAAAAAAAAATTAATTTATTGAACTTTCGAAAATATTAATTTAGAAGAAAATTGAAAATAGTATATGGAACTTGTAGCATTTTTAGGATATTATAAAATTTTGCAAATTTTGCAAATATTTAAAAAGAAATGTTTTAATTACTATTAAAATTTTCCTTATTCTTTCAAATAATTTTGTCACTTTTTTTAAATTAAATTTTTTATTTTTAATTCTGTACAAATAATTAATTTTTTATTAAAAAAATTTAATATTTAATTGTTAAAATATATCATGAAATTAAGAAATCAATTTTTTTCCATTTAATAGAAATTAAAAAATTCCATTTGTACTTATATTGTGTATGTTGAGATGTTTAGCAATAGTTTATAGTACCTATATCTATAAAAATTTCATAATATTTCTATAAGTACAGAATCAAGTAATTTATGCTATATCTAACACTAAACAGAGTTATAATAAATTATTGTTGTTAATAATTGAATTGAAAAAATTTATTTCCAATTGAAAAATTTCTGAATAGTTAAATTTTATAACATTTAAATTGCAATTTAAAAATTATTTAAATTTATTTTTATAAATTAAAAAATGTAGATATATGTTTAATCTAAAAAATTATAGTTTCATTAATAAAAATTTATTTTTCTAATATTTTTTTCTTAAAATGATACTAAATTTTATTAAATCCTGTATTAAGTTTATAAAAGTTTTTTTAAAGTTTAGAATTTCTTATATGAATATTATGCCTTTTTAGCATATTTTCCAAAACTTAAAAATACTTTTTAGAAAATTTGATATTTATCATATTCTTTCCGTGTGAAAAAAATTTTCAAATGGTTTTATTAGGTTTTGAAAAAATAAAAATTGTTTTTAATTTAATTAATTTATTATTATGTTCTGTTTTATATTTTATTTACCTAATTAATTTTCTTTTAATAATTTTTTACATAATTTTGATGATTAATTTTTTTATTGCTTATTGTTATTTTTACTTATTGCTTTATTAAATTTTTTTTTGGAAAATTAATTTATATTTTAAATATTAAATTTATAACAAGAAAATTACAAAAAAAGTCTGTATTTAAAATATACAATTTCAAATTGATTTTCTTTTTTTTCAAAAAAAAGAAGATACGATAAAATCAAAGTTCTAAACAAGATAATTATCGGGGTGAGGGGAGAATGCAAAGATATAGAAATTTTAAGCTGCGAGAGAGACGCGTGTTACGGGAGATGGTAACGTTGAGTGGGGGAGAGGGAGAGAGTGCAATACGAGATCTCAATACTCACCACTGATTAGCCTTTGCGTGAAGCGAAAGTTCAAATTTCACGTAATTGCAAAAAATTGACTTTTGATTTAAATCATTAGGCCAAAAAAAATTGTCCAATTGAAAAAATTGGATGAAATTAAATTATAAATTATTGAATTTTTGATGAAAAGAAAAATGTAAAATGCAAATTTTATATACAAGAGTCAGTCATCAGAATTTTGCAAGATTTTTTTTTTAAACTAATAGAGATATAAATTTCTTGAAACCGACAGATAACAGGATGTCCGTAGGATGCCCTGAATATCCGGTGAGGTTTTAAAATACAATTTTTATTTAAAAAATTTTTTAATATCGTCCAAAATTACTAGGATCAATTAAAATTGTTTTTTTTTCTAATAATACTTTTCACACATTATTTGAAAAATGATAATAATTTAAAATTAAAAAAAAAATAAAGATAATAAATTAAACAAGAAAATAATACATAAAAAAAGAAAATAATAAAAAAAAGAAAATAATAAATAAAAAAAGAAAACAATAATAATAATAAATTTTACAAGGACTTACACGGATTTAAAATATTTTTAAGTCAGAAACTTTATGAAAATTAATAAAAACATACATGACATTTTTATTTTTTTTTTCTTTTTGCTAACGAGAGCAATTCTAGTAAATTAAAAAAAATTTATTACCTAATCATTAAACAAACGATGTCAAATTTTTTTTTTTTGTAAACAGAAATAATTGAGTATATAAAAATGAATTATATTAAAAATTTATATTTATAATTAATTTAATAGTTAAAGATCATTAAGAATTTAATTTTAATAATAATAAAATTCATTAGTAATAAAAATTGAATTTATCACTCAGTAAAAGTTTTAAATAAAGAATGAAAATTCTCAATCAAATTATCATTAAGTTTACTTTGTTTAATTAACTAATGAATAATATCTATATAAATTAGTGGATAAGTTTCTCTTTTTTTTGTGAGTGTGTAAATTTTCTATTTCTTTATATGGAATCAAAAAAAAAAAATATTGACATTTTAATTAATAATTAAAATTTTTTAATTTTATCTTAATTTGTAAATTTATTTTAAATTTAAATTTGCATATATTAATATAAATATTCAAAAACATGAAAAATGTCTCCTGAAATTTATTAACCATAATAAACGTATTCAAAAAAAAAAAAAATTATTATATTCAAATAATCGGTTACTTGATTGGCATAAAAAAAAAATATTCACTTGAACCAAATAATTTTTATTTTAATTAAATAAATTGTATTTCAATCAAGTTTTGTATTTGAAACAAATATCAAATGAAAATAATAAATAAATATTTAAAAACTCATTATATGATTAATTGTTTTTAATTATTTATAATAATTATAATTTAAATTCTTTATGTCCTAATTATTTATAATAATTATAATTATTATAAAATAATAATAACTAATAAAAATACAAAATAATAAGTGTAATATAATAAATAGTAATAAGCATTATAATTAATTATTTTTAATTATATTGATAATAATTGTAATTATTATAAAATAATAAATTTAAATAATAATAATAATTGTTAGTAACTAATTAAAATAATTATAATATTAACTAATAACTCTAACTAAATATAATATTTAATTCAAGTAAATATTTATTTGAGAAAAAAGTTAGGTAGCCGATTATTTGAATGAAATAATTTTTTTTTTCAATGTGCAAGAATTTTAAAAAATCATCAAGCCTCAACAAATAATTTATTGTCATGCCATATAAAAAAGTTTCGATGACACCTCATAAAAAATCCGATGATATCTAACAATATCCTAAAGGGCTTTACATTTTTTTTTCATGCTTCTTGACTATGCAAATATAACAAAATACTGCGACAATAATCAGATTATTTTTCACATTTTTCGTCATTATTTTTTTTTTATTAAGGCATGTAGGACTAAAATAAATCCATTTTTAACGTGTCTATGTTAGCGGATATCAAATTAATTTTTTGTATGAAAAAAATCTTGATCTTAAAAATTCAAATTTCAATAAAAAAAAAAATTAAAAATTTTAATTCATTCAGATCAATTTCGAGATCTTTATTTTTGATTTTCTATTTTTTTCGTAATTCAAATTAATTATTGCTAAAATTGGAATTTTTTTTTTCAAAGAAAAAAAAATAAAAATTAAATTTAAATAAAACTAATACCTCACTTATATGGTATATAATTTTGTTGATGAAAACACTGTGTGTACATTTAAAAAAAAATGTGGAAAATTGACAATAACAAAAGTTTTAAAAAGAATATAATAATTTTTATATTCTTTTTAACTGAAACTTTCACAAAATATATTAAATGAACACCTAAACCACTGTACTGATTACACGTACTTACTGACCACACAGTATTTTCATTTTGTATCGTCAGGTGTTTGTAACTAAAGTATCTCTGGTCCCTTCCCCGCGCATTCGTATCTCTCTTTTATAATGTAATGTTAAAGAAAGTAGGTTCTCGTCTTGACGCTTCTTTCCGTGAGTCGACTTCATCATTACTTACGGTGAAGACTTATTTGAGTTAGTAGGCTTTCCGCTACATAGAAAGTTATCAAGATCGAAAAACATGCTTCGCCGGAGCGGTTCAATTGAAAAAATGAACAGAAGCATTTATGCGCAGTTTATATCATCAAAAAAATACGCAAATTCTTGAATTTACTTCATTTAACTTCAAAAATAGTTAATATATACATTTTTGTATTAAAAAAAAAATAACATGTTAATTTACAAAAAAAAATATTATTTAACAAATTTTAACTACTTTAATTACATTTTTTTCTTATTTTATGTATGTAGTACAAAGTAAAAGTGTAGTAAAAGTCATTCAGATAACATAATATTTTTCCGGAAGTTTGCTGCAAGTTTACAGTACTAGAATCATATTTTTAAAAAAACTTTGAACTTATTTTTGATTGAAATTTTCCGTAATTTCTGTTGCTTAAAAGAATTTATTAAAAATTACAGAAAAAAATTGAATTTCAAAAAGAAAAAAAAAATTAATTTTGGAAGAGTTATAGTTGAAATTATTAAATTAAACCTATGTATTTAACGCATAACCCCCAACGTATCATTGAATTTATAGTTTAAATCTTTGGGATTGTATATATGCTTAGTGAATAGCGATTCTCCATAATCGAATTTGTTTGAAACTTGTCACTTAGAAGTTTTTTAGGTTGCCGATTACAAATTTAAGGTTAGATTTTAAAAATTCAAAATGTCTGTTTCAATATGGCGGACGAATTTTTTAAAAACCGTTTAAATTCTCTTGAGTCTTGTTACTCGGGGTTTTTTTTGGGGTCACTGACTACGAATTTCACCTAAAACATATATATGTTATTGATAATTTTTTACTAAAAATTATAATAGTAATTTTTGATTACTTGTTGAATTTCATACTTCTGAAAAAAATTTCGATGAATTTGTCGAAAGACTTTCATGAGCTATTTTCAATCTAGAAATATAATTTTCGAAGTTGATAACAGTCCGCCATTTTGAATTTCGAAAATCTGACTTAAAATTCGTAATCAGTGACCCCAAAAACCCCCGAGTAACAAGACTCAAGAAAATTTAAACGGTTTTTAAAAAATTCGTCCGCCATTTTGAATTTTTAAAACTTAACCTCAAATTTGTAATCAGCAACCCAAAAAACCTCTAAGTGACTAGTTTCAAGCAAATTCGATTATGAAGAATCGCTTTATACCAATCGTACATTCCCAAAGATTTGAACTATAAATTCAATCATACGTTAGGGGTTATACGTTAAGTACAGGTTCCCCGCAATTATTTCATGACATTTCAGATTTGGATCTCAAAGTTGAAGTTTTAAGCTTTCTTTTGAGCCCTATTAAAGCTTTCTATACCCTCACGTTTTCCTTTTATAGTACTTCAAAAAGTGCCAAAAAAGCCATTTTTTGATACTTTAACCCCCATTTTCAGGGAACTGAACAAATTAAATTTTGTTTTTGTATTTTCTTGTTCATTGACACCCAAATATTCAATAAACCCAGGAAGTTTGAAATAAACACATGGCCATTTTTTGTTACACAGTGTAATTCTTAATTATTCTACTGGAGAAATAAATTAACAACGGCATACTTCAATAAAATTTTAGTCTTTATTTTTTTTTATCAAATTTTTTCCCTTTTTGATATTTAATGCGTTTTCTCACTCCAAAAGATTGTTCTGTATCATCATCTTCATCAGCTTTGCCATTCTGCTTTCTTTTTCCCGATTTTTTAATATCATCAAGATCTTTTAGTTTCTGAAAATCATTCATTAAATATAATTCCATAATTATTATTAATTATATTAATATTAATTTACTAATATGTTACAAATATTAAATTTATAATTTTGAAATTCTCAATTAAAAAAAAACATATCATTATTCTTAATATTTTTAATTTTATTTTTCAAATTAATTACCGTTTTAACAAGGCGTAGGGCCTCTGTTACTCTTTCTTCAAGTGCCATTACTTTATCCTCTTCCACAGGATAGGAGGGAAGTTTTTTTGAAATCAATTGTTCTATTCGCTGATATAATTCCACATCATATTGCGTTACAAACGTAATGGAACGACCTGAACGTCCAGCTCGTGCAGTTCTACCAACTCTGTGTATATAATCCTTACTGTGCGTAGGTATGTCAAAATTAATCACTATATCCACGTGTGGAATATCTAAACCTCTGCCGAAAAAAAACAATGATATATTTATTAACAAACTGGATTTCTGAGGTTTAAAAATTATGACTAATATATAAAATAATTCAATTAAATTAACAATATAATATTTTGTGACGTTATTTTTTGTGATTGGCGTCACAATGTCACCAATCGTCATTGAGACTTTTGAATCCTTGTTTTTTGAATTTCGCTATGAATAACGATTTAATGTTTACTTCATTTTGAAAATTTCCTATACTTGACACAAATCCAGTTGAAATACTGGCGCTCCATTTTTTAAGGAATTTTTCATTAATTTAGTTTACGTTAGTTTTAGGTTGACAAGCTTTGTTTAATTAACAAAGAAGCTATTTATTTCGGGTATTGACAGGTTCCGATGTTCAAGTTATCGCGAGCTTGATATTAGAAAAGTCTTTAGTTGTATTAGTAATTCAGAATTCTTGGAGAAGTAAGGTAGAAAAATGTTTCTGATTGGTTAAAATTAAAGAAAATCGTTGCGTCATCTAGTGTCAATTTTAGTATGAATTAAGAATTTAGTTTTCAATAGTTTTCAAGTATGTATTCTGTATGTATTCTTGGTTCCAGTATTTTAATAGTGGTTACAGTCATAATTATAAAATGTTGTTCATATTTATTTAAATAATGTCATAGTTCAATTATTATAAAATTAGTTTAAATTAAAATGCAAATCAATTTACAATAACTCGTTTTTCCGTCAAGGGTCCATTCATCGATGCAGAGCATTAACTCCTAGTCATTTTTAATAATTATTTATAATAATGTTTCACTTTTTTTCTATTGTTAATAACGTTTCAATTATTGTTTCCAATGATTTTAGTATTTCATTTTTCTAATATTTGAATTAACGTAAAATAACTTCTAAATATCGAGCCATTTTGTATTCAATTTGAGATCCAATTTAGTCAAAGTTTAATGATTTTAGTAATAAAAAAATATTTGTTAATTGAGGGCTCCCATACAATAAGGGGACGAACGCTCGGCGAGTTACTTTCTTGCCAGTCAAAGGTATGAAAATGTTCATAAAATTAAAATTCGAAATTTTGATTTTTGAAAAGTACTACCTTATAGTAAATAAGAAGGCGCATCTTTTTTTCCTTTAACATTTTTTTGTAGAACAAATATTTTATTTAATAAAGTTAAAAAACTGTAAATATTTTATTTACAAATTTCATTGAATTTTAAAACATAAATTGTCGTATCTTCGACAATAATTAAGGAATCGTTTTGGAATTTTGTATACACACGCATTTAGGTCCATAGAAGGCGAAGATATAACAAGAAAGTTAAAAATCATCAATTGTTTAATTATTTTTTATTATAAATATAGAAATGTCTGCTACGACGTTTTCTTGTCTTTGCCGAAAGACTAATATTTCATTTCCATTTATCAATATTTCGAAGCCTTTTTCGAATTCCATAATTCTAATAAAATTTCGTTAAAATTTTATCACAATTATAAAACGTCTAAACTTTTCACGTTTACACTTTTAAAACCAAACAGTCTGATAGAATAATCAATTCTGATCAATAATTATAAATTATATTCAAAATCATTGTTTATAATTTGTAATGATGGAAAAAGGAACCGGAGAATTGTTTATTTATTATTGTTTTGAATAAAATTTTGTTTTGGTAGTAATTTTCGAACGACTAATAGTTTCAGTGGTATGCATCAATTTTTAAAATTGTTATTTATGAATATAATATTAGGAATAATTCATTTTTATAATATGTAATATGTAATAAATAAATATATAATATTGTAATTATTAATTTTCCCTCGCAATAAATGCTCTAACGAAGTCAAGCGCTTGAAACTCCACAGAGGCGATCGCTCACGCACCGCGCGCTATTTGTTTAAACTAATATATTTCAAAAACTAAACAAGGAATCTTTCTGCAATTTTACAAAAAACTTCCTTATATACCAATAAACAAATGTCTCACTGGAAGTTCTTTTAATTTTAAACTTCCCTGCAGACTTTCTTTCGGCAAAGACAAGAAAACGTCGTAGCAGACATTTCTATATTTATAATAAAAAATAATTAAACAATTGATGATTTTTAACTTTCTTGTTATATCTTCGCCTTCTATGGACCCAAATGCGTGTGTATACAAAATTCCAAAACGATTTCTTAATTATTGTCGAAGATACGACAATTTATGTTTTAAAATTCAATGAAATTCGTGAATAAAATATTTACAGTTTTTTAACTTTATTAAATAAAATATTCGTTCTACAAAAAAATGTTAAAGGAAAAAAAGATGCGCCTTCTTATTTACTATAAGGTAGTACTTTTCAAAAATCAAAATTTCAAATTTTAATTTTATGAACATTTTCATACCTTTGACTGGCAAGAAAGTAACTCGCCGAGCGTTCGTCCCCTTATTGTATGGGAGCCCTCAATTGTTGCAGTAAAATTTAGAGATTAAACTTGAGAGTAATTATTGAGTGTAAAAATACGTTACAATTTATAGTGTTATTAATTGAAAAACGAAAAATTAATTTTTTAAATCAAGATTTTATAAAATTTCCTGACTTTCAGGTTTTTCAATTTTTGTCAAATTTGAAATTTTTTGTAGAGATTTTCTAGATGTTTTAAGAAAATGTAAATAAAATCGATTTTTTGAAATACTTTTTAACTTTAATTGAAAAAAATTTGAATAATTACCTGCTCGCAACGTCCGTTGAAACAAGAATTGATCTATTTTTTGCCTTAAATTTTGTAAGAGCTTCTATTCTCTTATTTTGAGACATTTGTCCATGTAGAGGAACAGCAGTGAGTCCCAAGTTTCGAAGAAGAAGTGCCGTTCTTATTGTATTATTACAAGTAGAACAAAATATCATAAAACTATTTCCCGCTGATTCATTGAGAAGATGAATAAGATACAGATCCTAAAAATAAATTATGTTTAACTTTTTTTTTTTGCTATTTGGTTCTTACATTCTACAAAAAGAATCTCTCTCAATTTCATAAAGAAATTAATTTTTTTTTGTTAAAATTAAAATTATACTAACCTTAAATTTGACTGGCATAAAAATAAAGTATTGTTGCAACATTTCTACTGTTGCATATTTAGTTGAAACTTCAACTTTAACGGGATTTTGTAGAGAAGCTCTTTGTAGTTTTTGTACTTTTTTTGTCATTGTTGCAGAAAATAAAAGCGTTCTTCTTTCTTTGGGAATAACTTTCAAAATTTTGTCAACTTCTACTTCAAAATCCATGTTTAATATTCTATCTGCTTCGTCCATTACCTTTAATTATTGTGAACAATAATAAAATTACTATAAATTTTATTATTAATTAAATTTGCCTTTAAAATATATTATCAATAATAAAATGCAAAATATAAATATATAACATACCAAAAACTTAAGAGAACGCAAATTGAATCCTTTTGTATTTTCTAAATGATCAACTAGTCGACCTGGTGTAGCAACAATTATATGAGGTTTTTTCGCTAGCAATAAAGCTTGAGAAATCATATCCATTCCTCCTACTATAACAGCACATTTTACACCAATAGTGACTCCTGTAATAAAAATTAAGTTACAAATAAAATTTTATTCACTATTTAAAAAAAATGTTAATAATCGAAGTTGCCACAAAAAAATTTTCTTTCAATTTTCTAATATATTTCTGACAATAAAATATTTTTTTTAATTTCATGAATTATAATGGAATTCTAATAATTTGAAGTTAGAAAAAAGCGATTTCAGCATATTTAATTCTTTTCATTAGAATAGGAATCACAATACCTTTTTTTAAAAATAGGTAAAAAGGGGAATTATTTACCGAAAATAAGGTACAAAAAAATTATAAAAAATTTCTAGTTAAAACAAAATAACAAAAAACAAAATAACAAATAAATAATACTAATAATAATAATAATAAATAAATAATAATATAAATAAATAACAAATAATACAAAATAACTAATTTGTGTTTATTCTAATTTGGAATAGTTACAATTTTTAATCAATTATTGAAGTATAAATAGTTTAAAATATTGATGAATTGAATTTTGGATAAATTGAAATTTTAATTAATCAAAATTTTAATCAATTAAAATTCGGATAATTTGAAACTTAAATCAATTAAAATTTGAATAAATTGAAATTCGGATAATTTAAATCTTTAATCAGTCAAAATGTGAGTAATTAATTAATTAAATTTTGAATAAGTTAAAATTCGGATAAATTTAAAACTCAAATCAATTAAAATTTGGATATAAATTAAAATTTGAATAATTTGAAACTTAAATCGATTAATCTTTAGAAAGATTCAAATCTCGTTTATTTTAAGTTCAATTTGGAAAATTCCCTTGATTTTCCTAATTTGTGGCTACAATGTTAATTTAAAATAATTACCTAAAGCTTCAAATTGTTCAGAAATTTGAAATGCCAATTCTCGCGTTGGTGCCAATATTAATGCAAAATAACGTTGAGGATTTTGTAAAAGAGCATACAATATTGGAAGTGCAAACGCTGCAGTTTTTCCAGAACCAGTTTCAGCCAAACCTATTACATCTTTTCCTTAAAATAAAATATATGAAATGTTATTAAAATTCAATTTGCATAAAATAAAAGAAAACATTCAATGTGTAAAAATAACAAATATATACCTTGAAGAGCATTAGGAATGGCTTCACGTTGAATTTTTGTCGGGTGTTTCCATTTTAGATCAATACATGCTTGACACAAGGAATCTGGTAAACCCTATGAGAATAAATAAATTAAAATTTTTCAAATTCATTAACTAATTTTCTTCTATTAAAAAAAATTCCGTTCATCAAAATTTAAAATTGTGAATGAATTTTTAATTCGATTCTTATAGAAATTGCTATCTTAGAGCATTTCACGAAACAATTTCATTCAAAAAATTTGATTCGCTTAGAAATTTTACACAAACTTTGATAAATTCGGTAAATTTAAACAATCACTAATATCATATTATCAAAAATAGTGATAAATTATATTTTCATTTTTATTATACATTATTCAATTAATTTTATTCTCGTTAATTGTTTAAAACATTATTTATATAAAAATATTTTTTGGTTTTAAGACGTTTTATTTTTAATTAATGTTTATCATAATTGGAGAATTTTAAGGTTTTGGTCATTTTTTTTCTAGTAGTTAAGACAGCTTTCGATGAGACAAAAAATTAAAATATCCCGGGATAAAAAATCGCAGTTATTTGTTTAATTTATTTCATTTATTTGTTTTACCACATTTTTTAAAAACTTTTGGTTTTTGGGAATTTTTTTTTAATTTTGGAATTTTTTTATTTTGGAAATTTTGTATTTTGGAAAAAATATACTTTGAAACTTTTAAGTTTTGGATATTTTTCTTGGTATTTTTGTACCCCAATCGTTTTTAAATTGAAATACTTTAATAAAACTTTTTTTCTTAAATTCAATTCAAACAGATTTATTAGTAAGGTCCTTAATATGTTAAACGTTCGTTTATCTCCTCTTTTTTGAAAAATGGATTTATCGACTTTTGAAAACTTGCTCCTCAACTAATTTGCCTTACTTAAACTGTTAATCGAATTAATTGAAAATTTTGAAATTTTTTCATAATTAACTTTAGAAACTATAAAAACTTCTATCAATAGATTTTTATGAATAAAAAAAATGATTGATTGAAATTTGAATCGATTAGAATTTTAAAAAATTAAAATTTTCGTAAATTCAAGCTTAGATTGTTTCAATTTAATGTTGTTAAAAAAAATATTTAATTAAAATTGAAATTCATTAAAATGTAGATAAATTTAATTTAGATCTGTTAAAATTTTTAAAAATAAGAAAAATTAAATTTTGAATGTACTTTAATTTAAATAAATTAAAATTCTGATCAATTGAAATTTGAATTGATTACAATTTAAAGAGATTGGAAATTCAATAAATTACCTAGAATTAAACGAAATTTAAAATAAAAACAAATTAAAATTCAGATAAATATAATTTCGAATCTATTAAAGTTTCTACTAATAAAAATTTTTACGATAAAAAATGAGGATTTATTGAATTTTGTATGAATTTAATTTTAAATAAATTAAAATATGAATCATCGATTCAAAATTTGATAAATATAAATTTGATTAAAAATTTTTCGATCAATAAGATGTTTTGACTAACGAAAGTTAAGATTCTTTAAAAATAGATCTAATAAATTTGAACAATTTTTAATAAGTAAAAGAATTGTTCAATTGAATTCAATTTTTTTAAAAAATATGAAAATTAGAAAAATAAGTGACAAAATTTATAAAAGGTAATAAAGTGACAATTAAATAAACATTGGTAAACAAAGTAAATCATAAAAAACAAAAGAAATATGTCCATTGTTTAATTATACAATAAATATTGACATATTTTAACCTATTTCCAATTTTTTTCTGTTTAGTTATTAATTAACTATTAGAGAAGAGGAAAACCAGCAACAAATTTTAAATAACCGTAAAAAAATAATAACATATTAGAAATGAATAGCTGCAATTTTGCATTAAATTTTTTCATTGTTAAACAAAATAATAAATTAATCAAAAAATAATTCAGTATCATAATCGAAGAACCGTTACTATAGTATAGTTAATTAATAATATATTACCAAATCTTGCCATGTTACTTGTTCCGCATCTTCTTCTATACCATTTAATGCTAATTTTTCGTCCATTTTTATATAAATTTATTTATACTTTGTTAAAGAATTATTTTTTTTAAATTAAAAGACTAACATCCTTTACAACACCACAAGTAGAGCACATGTCAAGACAAAACTATGATCAGGTTAGGTGCGGTCACTGAACTTCTCTTTAGAGTGGAACGTCCGAAATGTTGCAAACCTCTCATTCTTAAAGGTACTTCACACACCTTTTGGTATCCCATAAAGGTGCTTTTATACCCTCAGTATTTTAGTGAAGGTGCTTATATACCTCAAATTTCGATCAGATGAACATTATTTCTGGACCGTGAAAATGCGTGAAAATTCATTTTCACGGCGGGTATTTTTGAATTGATTTAAATAAAAAATGTTTTTTTAAGAAATATAATGTTAAACAATTGTTTAAATGTGTAAGAATAAATGAAAATAGTGATAGAAAGATGATTTGATTGAAAAATTTAGCAAATTTTGCTTTAAAACATTTTCTGTTACGAAAAAGTGTAAGATCACGATGTTTGTGAAATGGTTTGTACAGTGTACATGTGTACATGTTTCTTTCAGTTATTCGAAACAATTAGTTGAATTTAAATTTATTTAATAAACATTTCAACTTACCGATTTATCTTGAGCACTCATTATTTATTACAAACTAAAAAAACGCCGACAAAACATAAACAAACAACGAGACAATCACATCGAAGAAGCACTGTACAAACCATTTCACAAACATCGTGATCTTACACTTTTTCGTAACAGAAAATGTTTTAAAGCAAAATTTGCTAAATTTTTCAATCAAATCATCTTTCTATCACTATTTTCATTTATTCTTACACATTTAAACATTTGTTTAACATTATATTTCTTAAAAAAACATTTTTTATTTAAATCAATTCAAAAATACCCGCCGTGAAAATGAATTTTCACGCATTTTCACGGTCCAGAAATAAAGTTCATCTGATCGAAATTTGAGGTATATAAGCACCTTGAAGCAATTGGGATCCGAAATCTTGTGTAACTACTCAACCCTGAACCCACTTGTGGCAATCATCTTGCTGTTTTGTCTCTTTCTTTATACATATGTTTGACAGAGACAAAATAAAAAATGGCTACCGCAAGTGGGTCGACACCAGATGGCGTATCGCAGTATTTCAGATCCCAATTGGCTGGATTGTATTTTCACGGTTGTATCACTGAATTAGATTGGCTCTGACAAATATTAGATTTTCACCGCGAATATTAAACATTTTTGGAGCCAATCAAATTTAGTGATTCTCCGTGAAAATTCAATCCAGCCGATTGCTTGACTAAAATACTAGAGGTATAATGGAGCGGTCACACCTCGCCTGCAGGAGCAGTTGCCAATGGCAACCGTGTAAGAGTAAGAGAGATGGAAAATCTTCTATCTCTCTTACTCTTACACGGTTGCCATGGGCAACTGCTCCTGCAGCCGAGGTGTGACTGCTCCATTAAAGTACTTTTAAATACTCTATAGGATAACGGCCAAACTCTGGTCCCCGCCAACGAAGTTATTGTGAAGTAACCTTAATTTCATTTCTCTCATATGATATCACTGTGTGTTAGCCCATTTGTTTATTATTTTAAACCGCCAAAATGGATGCAAGTGAAATTGAATTTTTAAGTGAAGAAGAAATGGTTAGTATTATACCAAGTTTTAATTGTGGTGTTCTTAATTTAATATCAAGACCAATTGGACCATTTCGTGCTGGTTTACCCACTACAGTACCAATTTGGGTTGCTTTAATTTTAAAACAGCAGCAAAAATGTCGAATACTTGAACAGGAATGGATGAATATAAATAACTTAAAATCAATTAAAGAAGATGAAAAGTCCTCTAAGTAAGTGTCAAGTTTCTTTTAATGTATTTTTCATTTCAATCAGTGTATCCCGGTACCATAATATTGTAATTTAGGTTAAGTTTTAATTATTTTTGTCATGTTTTATCAATGACATCTTTCGTATATACTCTATATTAAAAATAAATTTATGAATTCATTATGAAAATTTAAACATTCTTTTGCAGTTCTTGATTATTTCTGACTAAATTTTATTTTTAAAGTATTAAAATTGGCCACTAGGTAAAAATTAGTAATTTCCTAAATAGGAGATCTATATCGGTTAATGAACATAACCTAACATTTTATAACTATTTTTCAATCTCAGAAATTTTTAATTTTTATATTATCGAATGGAAATTTTTACTGAATAGAAAAATAAAACTGTTCAAACTTTCACTGATACAATTTTTAATTAAAAATCTTGATTTGTGATTCAAAAAAATTACCAAAATATGCGGAGACAAATAATTGCTTATAATCAAATTTTTTTAAAAATTTTAATAATTGAGAAAATAACAGGCCTCAGATTAATTTGAATGAAATTCTTTACAAATTCAATTATTTTAAATTATTTTCAATTTAATTATTTTTGATAAGGGTTATCTAAAATTATTTGATAAATATTATTTTCAATTCTGTAAAATTTTACAAAATCTTTTGAAATTCAATTATTTCTAAAAATTTAAACTGTAACTCTTACAAAATTCAATTATTATTTTTAATAATTTTAATATTTCTTTAAAAATTCAATTATTTAAAAAAGCTTCAACTTAATTATTTTACGAAATTTTTTTTTTAACCATTAAAACTAAAATCTATGCAAAAATTTTAAATTCTAATTATTTGCATAAATCAGACTTTAAAAAAAAATTTTTAATGGAACTTTAAAAATTTTGGTTTTAGAAATTTGTGCTACTTAATTAAAATTTTGAAAATTTCTTTTAGTTCGGTTTTGAAACAGGTATTCGAAATAAATTTTCTTGATAATATTCTTGTAGAATTATTCTTATTAAAAAATGAAAATATAAATTAAATAATATACAATAACATTTGGTATTTAAAGTAAAAATTTTATTAACTAATTAAATTTAATTAAATTAAAAAATCTACTTTTTCGACTTTTTTTGCGATCCGAGGCCTGAAATAACTAATCGTAAAAAACTATAAAAGATAAAATTGTTTCCTTTGTAATTCATTCTGAATCGAATGACATTTTAATGTAAAGAATATATGTTAATTTTTCAATTAGATATTCTCAAAATGAAACAACTTTTTAATGTTTTTCTTTATTTTTTTATATAATTATATAATAATAAAATGCTTGGTCTGTCCTTCTGTCCTGACTTGAAGTTGGCCTTTTCTGATTTCACGTGTTTTTTTGAATACTAATCTTATGACGTGTCTTTCGACAATTCTTTTTCTCATTTTTGCCAAAGTTGTATAATTGTGTTTCCAAATTTCGGAATAAGTTTCTTTAAAATTCCAAATTCCAAAATTCAATTCACGAAGCTGAAGTACACAACGTTTACCAACAAAATTTTTTTTAAAGTTGTATATTGATTCAAGAATTGTATACAAATACAAAAAATTTATGATGAGAAAAAAGATGTGGCAGGAAATTTCGTACAATATAGTAATTTGAAAAAAATTTATTTTTAAAAATTAATTTTTAAGGTACCAGGGGCCAACGAATACCTATTAAATACACAGGCACACAAAAAATAAAAAGCTGTTTGGCCGAGACACTACACTAGTCTATTTCCATGTATTTTTTCACGCTGAATCCGAATCCGAAGTCAGAATTATCAGATTGGCTTTTATTTTTGAGATAAACTCAAAAAACTGCTCAGAAAGAAAAATAAAATCAAAAAGTTAAAAAATTTTTGAATGTCACTGCGATAGTGAAATTCCATGTATTTTTTGTCGCTGAATCCGAATCCAAAGTCAGAATTGTTAGATTCGCTCAAATTATTAAGATAATTGCAAAAAAACGCAAGTAACAAAAAACTCAAAATACTCAAAATCAGTTTTTTGGAATTATCTTCAAAATTTGAGCCAATCTGTCAATTCTGACTTCGAATTCGGATTCAGCGTGAAAAAATACATGAAAATGCACTATCGTAGTGTTTCGTCAAAAAAAAAATTTCTTTGAGCTAAAATCGCCAAAAACTGATAAAAATTCTGAATTAGGGGCACAGATAATTTTTTTTGCCGAAACACTACGATAGTGCATTTTTATGTATTTTTTCACGCTGAATCCGAATTCGAAGTCAGAATTGACAGATTGCCTCAAATTTTGAAGATAATTCCAAAAAACTGATGTTGAGTTTTTTGTTACTTGCGTTTTTTTGCAATTATCTCAAAAATTTGAGCGAATCTAACAATTTTGACTTCGGATTCGGATTCAGCGTGAAAAAATACATGGAAATAGACTAGTGTAGTGTCTCGGCCAAACCACATTTTACTTCTTGTGTGTCTGTGATATTAATTATAAAAACACAGGCCTCGAATCAACTTAAAGACACAAAAAGACGTTTCAGTCGATTTATATTCCAAAAAAAGTGGATTTGTTTTTTATTTTAACAAAAATATTTTACAGATTTTTAAATAAAAATTTTTTTTTAATAATATTCCTTTTCGAAGGGTTAAAGTTGAAATTTTTAGAAATAATTAAATTTCAAAAGATATTGTTAATTTTCAAACAATTATTAAATTTTACAGAACTAAAAATAATTTATCAAACAGTTTTTTGAAAACATTTTTTAAATTTAATTGAATTTTCAAAGATTTAAAATTGAGATTTTTGAAATTAATTGAAACTTTAAGTGATTTTTATTTAACATTTTAGATGATTTCACTAAAAATTTATTAGAAAATGCGGACAAAATACAATAATTTGAAAATCATTTTTAATTGAAAAATGGTTTCAGATAGTTGAACTTTCAAAGAATATTATTAAAATAGTAAAAAATAATTGAATTTGTTTAGAGTTATAATTGAAATTATTAAATTTAAAAAAAAAAAAAATTTTCGATGGAAAATTTTAGAAATAATTAAATTCTAGATGCTTTTAAATTCAAATTATTGAAAATTCAATTAATTTTGAATTCAAATTTTTGAGAATAATTAAATTTTATATGATTTTAAATTTGGAAAATAATTGAATTTCAGTTCATTTTGAATTGAAAATTTTCGGAAATAATTGAATTTTAACTGAAATTTTGGATAATAACACAGGCACACAAAAAAAAGTTGTCTGTTTCTTGAACTTATAGTATTTTGATCCGCTGAAACCGAATCTGAGCTCAGAATTGCTCCATCACCCTCAGTTTTTTTTTAAATCGACCAAAACCCCCCTTTAACGGACAAATTCACACTTCGGACATAAAAAATAAATCGACTTATTTTTTTAAAAAACCGAATTTTACATCTACGAAACTTTGCTCCACTAATTCAAAAAAAAGCCAGCATTGATCCAGCACCCCTTGAATTTTTTTAAATCGAAAAAACTACCCCTAATCTGAAGAATCAAATTCAGGAGGTAAAACAATAAAATAACTGATTAAAAAATTTTATAACCAGGTATTTTTACTCCAGCAAGGCAGAAACAAAGCCAGAAATGCCCCCTCACCCTCTAAATTTTTTTTAAATCAAAAAGCTACCCTTAAATAGAAAAATTCAAATTTAATAAGTAAAAAATATTAAATTACCAGTTTTTTTAAAAACAGAACCTTACATGTATGTAGTTTTGTTCTTCTAACTCAAAAAAATAAAGCCAGCATTGATCCATCACCCTCTGAATTTTTTTAATCAAAAAAACTACCCTTAATCTGAAGAATCAAACTTAGGAGGTAACACAATATAATCTGACTTTGTTTCCGCATTGCTGGAGTAAAAATACCTGGTTATAAACTTTTTTAATCAGTTATTTTATTGTTTTACCTCCTAAGTTTGATTCTTCAGATTAAGGGTAGTTTTTTTTATTAAAAAAATGTAGAGGGTGATGGATCAATGCTGCCTTTTTTTGAGTTAGTAGAACAAAACTACATGAAACCGGTAATTTAATATTTTATATTTATTAAATTTGAATTTTTCTATTTAAGGGTGGTTTTTTCGATTTAAAAAAATTTAGAGGGTGAGGGAGCATTTCTGGCTTTGTTTCTGCCTTGCTGGAGTAAAAATACCTGTTTATAAAATTTTTTAATTAATTATTTTATTGTTTTACCTGCTGAATTTGATTCTTCAGATTAGGGGTAGTTTTTTCGATTTAAAAAAATTCAGGGGGTGCTGGATCAATGCTGGCTTTGTTTTTGAGTTAGTCGAGCAAAGTTTCGTAGATGTAAAATTCGGTTTTTTAAAAAAATAAGTTGATTTATTTTTTATCTCCGAAGTGTGAATATGTCCGTTTAAGGGTGGTTTTGTCGATTTAAAAAAAACTGAGGGTGATGGAGCAATGCTGAGCTCAGATTCGGTTTCAGCGGGCCAAAATACTATAGGATATATATGTCTAGTTCAAGAAACAGATAACTTTTTTTTGTGTGCCTGTGTAATTTAATTTAAGTTGATTACCTCCCTGAAGTACGCAACGTTTATTTAAAACGAAAATTTTTTTTTTTAATAATTACATAAAAGTCATTAAAATAAGTACAAACTAATAAAAAACAACCAAAAATACAATTTAGAAAAAAAAATTACACAAATTACACCCCAAACACCCCCTTAAAATTGAAAAATCGAATAAAAAATAGAAAATATTCTATTATTTCAAATCTAAATGCGGGACCAAGGATTTTATTGTTCTATTCACATCTTTATATGTCCCTTGGAATGCAAAAAAATTGTGGGCGAATTTCATGATCCGCAACCCCCATTTTTTTACCCCTAAAATTTGAAAAAATTTGAAAAAATCGAAAAAAAATTCATCATTTCAAATCTAAATGCGGGACCAAAGATTTTATTATTGTTTTCGCATCTATATATGTCCCTTGAACTGTAAAAAA